CATAAGTAATTCTTGGACCAGTACTTCAGCTACAAAATTCCCCAGGGTTCAATACAGCTCCATTCCCAATGGAATTCACTGTAAGGCCTGTGTTTTCTGGACCTGGAACATGGATTAGAGTAAATTGAAATGGACTTGGCAGAGCACTGGAAAACATAAAATTATTTCTCTGTTTCACATTTTTCTGTAGCTGTGGCCTTTGACTGGGTACAAATTCATGCCCCACATCATCTGATCAAAGGAAACTCTAAATTTCAGCTTCCTTGATTACGTGGAACATATACCAACTACACATCCTGCAGAGTTTCTCAACGCTGTCTGCTTAGTATGATAACTTCACAGATTTCAGTAAGCAAGAGGATGATAAGCTACCATCTCATTGGCCTTATCATTGCCCCACTGACCCGATCACTGCCCAATTGAGCAGATCTATTTGGAATTGGGGCTTTTATGATTTTATAAGCAAAAACCTTAACAAAATTCATCCACTCATCTATTGCACCAGCTCCTTACTGGTGTTCTGTTTGTAAAAATATAAATTATGGGAACTGTAAAACTGTAACAATTTCCAGGCTGTCAACCAGATCTCCATCTGGAATAGATATTCTCTGCCTCAATCACTGAACTTTTCAAGCATTTGCAAAAGATATGCATCTTTACTAAGTTAAGCCTAGTGATGCTTACAATTTGCTTCACATCCAAGGTGGTGATGAATAGACAATTTCTTTCCACACGCAATATAATCACTTTCAATACACGGTGATCCTGTCTAGGCTATGCTGTGCACCTGTTGCCTTCCAAAGTCTGAAGAATGATATTTTCCAGGACTTGACTCTATGAATCTATTAGACTCTGTCTTGATGACATTCTAATCCATTTATCTTCTCCTAAACAATATGAAATTCATATTGTATGAGCAGACTTGCAGCATCTCCAAGTACACCACCTCTGTGTTACGTTCTAAATTGTGAATTTGAAGCAAATCAGATTTTTGGGGATACTGCATCTTATCAATACAGATACAGATGGAACCTAACGAAGTTGAAGCTATTACATTTGGCAACTACCCCAGAAAGTCAAGAGCGTTCAGAGGCTAATGGGTTTTGTAAACTATTATTCTTCCTTCATTCCAAGTTTTGCTGAGTTCAGAGCCCTTTAATCTACTGCTTAAGCAAACATTACAGTATTTATTTGGGATACATTGGCTCGGAAAGCTTTTGAAAAGGGAAAGAAACTTTTTTCTACTCAGCCTATCCTGCAATATCTGATCACTTCTCACTGAAACAGATGCCAAATGGGAGGCATCTGCTGCAAGTTGCAGTCATAGCTGCTGCAAGTTGCCGTCTTGTGTCTATTATTTTAGAAAACTAAAACACTGTTCCATCTGTGATAAGAAATTAACAATCAAGATGACTTTTGATATTTGACATACCTTCTAGAAAGAGCACAAAATCCCATAGAAATATGGAATGACCACCACTATCTGAAGTATCCATATACAAAAAAGAAGCTGAATCAGTAGTTAACTTCATTGGCCACTGTTCTTTCTCTGGATTAACTTCAAGGTGGTACATGCCAAGCATTCAGAACAAGAAAGCAATCATTCAAGAAACCAAAACAGCAGAGAGAAGAAGACAATTCACATCACAACCACATCACATCACAATCCTCAATAGTGATTCCTCCTGAAAATAATACTATTTCACTGACAAAATGCTTGTAGAACCAGGTAGACCTAATGACCCGTTTTCAGGTACTAGGTCAAGTGACTTAACCTGCTGCTTTTTTCCACAACAAGGGGCTAATTACCTGACAGTTCCATGCTTGCATGTTCATTTTCCAACATAAACTCATCAGAAAACAATATGCATACTTAAATCTCGTCATAATACTGAGACTGCTCATCTTGCTAGGAGTTAGAAAGCATATAAATTTAATAAATTATTATTGTGATTGGTCACATAGTCAACCTGATGTTTAGACTGGAATTGGCATTTTTGTTATTACATAAATTTTCTGTATCTCTTTGTTGTCTGGGTTTTTGCAGCCAAGATCTAGAACAGTAGTTCTCAACCTTCCTAATGCCGCGACCCCAAACCATGTGGTCGTAAGTCGAGGACTACCTATATTTCCCTGCAGGCGGGGCAGGAGGCGTGCACACTCCGCCTCCTCTCCTGCGGCTGGAGCGCATGCTGGGCAGGCCGAGGATGGACGCAGGCTGTTGCCCAGCAACCGCCTTGGCCCGGGAGCGCCGCACATGCGTGGTGCCGCCCCTGCGCCGGCCGAGGCGTAGCTGGCAAGCAGCAATGAGGGCGCAGGCCGACCACCGGCTGGGCCACCAGCTGGCCCAGCCCAAGGGAGGTAAGGCACCCGCCGGGCCCCACGTGCGCCAGCAACCCTCCCTGCGCCCGCCGCTGCCCTGCAGGCAGGGCAGGAGGCGCGCACACTCCGCCTCCTCTCCTGCAGCTGGAGCGCACGCTGGGCAGGCCGAGGGTGGACGCAGGCCATCGCCAAGCAACCGCCTTGGCCCGGGAGCGCCGCACATGCGTGGTGCCGCCCCCTGCGCCGGCCGAGGCGTAGCTGGCAAACGGCAGCAACGGCGCAGGCCGACCACCGGCTGGGCCACCAGCTGGCCCAGCCCAAGGGAGGTAAGGCACCCGCCGGGCCCCGGCGCGCCAGCAACCCTCCCTGCGCCCGCCGCTGCTCCGCTAGCCTTACCTTGGCCACCGCACGTTCGGTGCGGCGGCAGGCAGACCCAGGCGCTCCTGGGCAGCCATGGCACACGGCAGCGAGGGCGCAGGGCGACCACCGGCTGGGCCACCAGCTGGCCCAGCCCAAGGGAGGTAAGGCACACGCTGGGCCCCACGCGCGCCAGCAACCCTCCCTGCGCCCGCCGGCCTCCCACCTCCCACCCCTGGCCCTCTTTTACTTACATTTAGTAGCTGCTCAGCAGGGAGGGGTGGAAACGTCCAGAAAGCTCGCCTTACCTGCAGACAACCTGCAGCACCGTTTGCAGACTGGGACTTTTGGCGGGCTCAGCAGGGCAGAGACAGCCTGGACAATTCCTATTGGCTTTTGAAAGCCAATAGAATTAGACTCTATTCAAGAGAGTCTATTCTATTGGCTTTCAAAAGCCAATAGATTCTATTGGCTTTCGAACGCCAATAGAATAGAGTCTCTTGAATAGAGTCTATTCTATTGGCTTTCAAAAGCCAACAGAATAAGAGGGAGTAGCACAGCTAAGGAAAAGGGGAAAAAAATGGCGGACTGCGTTGTTTGGCGACCCCCGTGAAATGGTCGTTCGACCCCAAATGGGGTCGTGACCCACAGGTTGAGAACCGCTGATCTAGAACCTATATTGTATCTATATTTGTAATCTATATTGTATCCATAAGTTACTTCCCTATTAATTTTAAGAGCAAGACAGCAAATCTAAATAAACTATTTTGTGCTATTTTTTTTCTCTAAAATCTATATGAATATTTACAAATTTGTATTATTTCAAGCCTTTGGCTTATGAAAACTACCATTTTGCAAAATCTGCTCAGTGGTTTTTAAGATATTTTGTGAATGGAAGACTACATTTATGGAAATATTCATATTCTGAACATTTTCAAAAACTAAATTTTGCAATTAGGAAGTCTTCCATTTAAATGCAAAAATACAGTCCCAGTCCAAGCCGATTTGTATAATTGGATATAAACGTTTTAGGTACATTAAGGGTTTTTGAGCTGTTTTTCATTATTTGAATCCAGATGAAATTATAATTGATAATACTGATTGGGAAGACTAAAATTCTTCATATACAGGTAGGCCAGTACAGGAACATACATTATTTCTGACAGAAGATAATGTTTTTGCTGTATTAAGTTACATGTTTATATGTAAAATATTCTGACATAAATTAGCAGCAAGAACAACCTTATACCCTTAAATGGTTTATGCTGAGTTTTTTATCCTGAATAATTTTAATCTGATAAACAACAAACATTCCTAAATCGTCTGCTCTTCTATACATATTTTTTCAGATGCAAGTAGCACTGAAGTGAATAACACTAACTCCTAGGTAAATGAAAACTTGCAATCCAGATACTGAACGGCATTAAATTGGGCCATGGGGGGGGGGGGGGGAAGCTTCACATGAATGTACTAAGTGTGTTTCTTCCATCTTGCTTTTTATAATCCAGTTGTCAACAGAACAGCCTCCCCCCACTTATGAGAATTTGCATTTAGAAGCTCTGAATCCACAATATTAATTTACAGATACGGAGTTCTTCTAATAGCTTCTGATAACATCAAGAGAAGTAGATTTCTAGTGTTTCAGATCCCAACTATAGGAAGCAAAAACTTTAAATTCCTTTTTGTAAAAATATATAATTATTTGTGGATCATACTTTACGATTAAATTTACACTTCATAGTAAGCCAGCGCTTACTGAATAAACCACAGTTAGCCTAGTTCAAACAGCATGTTAGGTCAAAATCAAGCAATCACATTATGGTTTAGAATTATCAGGAACAAAGAGTTAAATCACTACAGAATGGTTCCAGAAGTTTTAACAAAAGACATTTTTCCAGAGTTATTCTATAGCAGTGTTTCTCAACCTTGACAATTTTAAGGCATGTGGACTTCAACTCCCAGAATTCCATTGTCAAGGTTGAGAAACACTGTTCTATAGCTTGTTTGCATACTTTTTAAATGGCATTTTCTCTTGATACTGCTCCCCATGATAAATAATTATGGTGTATTTCCCTTCAGACTTCATAGTAAGGAGAGACTATTACAGTAATAGGTCATGATAACACTGAAAGAACAAAGCTACAATATCCGGATTGCAAAACTCTGGACTGCACTGACTGATAATCAAAAGCATTTTCTTTGTATCTCTCTACCATCAAGTGATAATCTGGAATTTTGCAGCCTAAACCTTGTAACTCTATAAAAGAAGAATATGTAGTTTTCATGTTACTCAGACAATTGATAACTTTTAAAAAAATTACTTGGGAAAATGTGTTAGGATTAGTGTTCGTTTCTCAAGAGGAAGTTTGTCCTTTTCCTGTCTTGCATGTTCAAGAAGTTGCCGTCTCATAACGGTGAAAACAGAACGCAACAAGGTTCTCCCAAAAATTTGTGTGGTTTCATATTGAGGTAGACTATCACAAAACTGGGGGACATTGCAGTAACACAACCACCTACAAAGGAAAAAATAAAATACAAACTCAATTAACCCAAATTACTATGCAATGTATTTCAATCAAACTCACTTAATAACTGTTTACAGAATGCATTACTGAAATTTCTAAACAAGCATTTTATATCATATAATTATTCTGTAGGTTGAAACTAACTGAACTACAGAAAACATCTACATTCAGCAGAACTGTATAGCCTAGAAGATTTCTTTGTATCTCCTAGATCAGGGGTAGGCAACCTTGGCTCTTTTATGACTCGTGGACTTCAACTCCCAGAATACCTGAGCCAGCATGGCTGGCTCAGGAATTCTGGGAGTTGAAGTCCACGAGTCATAAAAGAGCCAAGGTTGCCTACCCCTGTCCTAGATGAACCAGACTGTAACAGATTATAAACCAGATTCCCTGCCAGGACTGTGAAAGGAATCTGGCTGGGGATGCCTGATGGGGACTGGTTTTTTGGAAAGGGGGAGGGGGCATTAGGGATATTGGGAAGCTGGGAGTGTGAGCTAAAGTGCTCCAAGGACTCAGATCCCCTCCCAGGAATGTGTTAAGTATCTGAGTGATGGTAAGGAGATATTCTACTCTGGCCCTCTGGGCTCTACCCTATTTTGTAGTCAGCAGGCTTTCAGATGCCTGGGTTTTTGACAGCTGCTTTTTAATGCCAGGTCAGACTGTAAAAAGGCTACCCTCATCTGTGATTTGACTGCAGTTGAGAGGGTTTACCTAGTATGCATTACGAAGATCTGGCTGTGCTTAGAGGGCAGGTGCTCTCTTATGGCTTTGCCCAGTTAGGTTTCAGGTATTTCAGCCAAGACCTTAGATCAAGAATGGAAAAGTGATAAATGTAACCCAAGAGTCTCTGATGGCTTTCAACAGTGCTTCCCCAGATTACCTATTCCTTGGAATGAGCTCTAGGGATTGTTACTGATATGTAACAATCTGGTTGCCTGGGTTCCTTGATTTCATAATTGGGCTGGCAGTGGAATTTCCCAGGTTTATGATCCTGGAAATTTAATCTGTCTTTTTTTGAATTGGAGTCAGAGGCACCTTGGGAGTTCATGGAGTTCATGGGCACCATGATATCCATGGGCCTATCCCGTGTAATCCAGGACACAATATTTAAAAGGAGTGATAGGCCTAATCTGGTTCTGCTGTCAGAGTCCTGACAATATGATCTGGATATGGGGAGCTCTCACTTGTTCCCTGCTGTCATGATCTGATTGCTCCTTGGTAATCGTGGAGTTCTCTGGCATGACTCCCCACTGCAGAGAGGCTGGCCCAGCCAACCAATGTACCTTTGGGTTTAGGAATCAGCTTGAGATTGTTCCTGATAGTTTGTTGCATAATCCAATTGAGCCCCTGGTTGTGCCCTGAAATAGGGGGAGACATGGATCTGATTGCACTCCTATGGCCTCTTTCCTACTGTGAAGGAGCGTTGGCTTACCTGAACGCCTTTTCTTAACATGAGGAAGAATCCACCAATGGGTTATTTCAGTCCTACTGCCCAATCAGACCAAGTTGTCAAGTTGTCACGCCTCCTCTTTGTCTGGGACCTCCCAGTTTTCATAGACGGCGTAGCCATTGACAAGTGTCCGACATGATGACTCTCAAGCAGGCAACAAAGAAAAGTACAAGAACAAACGCCCAACCCGGATCTGACTGACTAATAAACGGGAGGGCGTGGATTCTTCCTCATCATGTTGAGAAAAGGCGTTCAGGTAAGCCAACGCTCCTTCTCCAACATGATGACAGAAGAATCCACCAATGGGACGTACCAAAGCATCCAGAGTCCCTAAGGGTGGGAGTCAGTTGTGGCCGGACCCCCAGACGGTGTGACTACTTGTTGCAAAATGCGGCTACTGAAAGCGGCTTCAGCTGACGCAAATTTGTCCAAGAGGTAATGTCTAATGAAAGGCGAAGGCGGTGACCATGTCGCCGCCCTGCAAATGTCCTCAATGGACGCCTGGGTCGCCCACGCCGCAGTAGTGGCAGCACTGTGGGTAGAGTGAGCCGTCACATGAGGAGGAACAGGTAGGGCAAGTGAGACATATGCGCTGGCAATACAGGCCCTAATCCATCTACCTATGGTGGAAGCTTACACCTTCTGACCTATTGAAGAAGGCTGAAAGGACACAAACAGAGCTTCCGACTTACGGAAAGGCGCCGTACGCTTGATATAACATCGCAAGGCTCTCCGTACATCCAGCGTGTGCCATTGCCGTTCTACGTCATGTGACGGGTGAGGACAAAAATCTGGAAGAATGACCTCTTGTGCCCTATGAAATACTGTATTAACTTTTGGAATAAATGAAGGGTCCAGGCGAAGAATCACCCTGTCCTCATAAAACGTGCACAGGTCCTTCCTGACTGACAAGGAGGCCAATTCCGAAATGTGCCTAGCTGAAGTAATTGCAATCAGGAAGGAGACCTTGAGAGATAAGTGTCGCAAGGAACACGTTTTGAGTGGTTCAAAGGGAGATGAAGTCAGAGCCTGAAGAACCCGAGGTAAGCTCCAAGAAGGGTACCTATGAACCACAGGGGGCCTACTGTTAGTGACTCCCTTGAGGAAAGACCGTATTCTGGGGTGCCTAGATAAGGACTCTGATGAGTCCCACGAGAGCACAGAGGAAAGTGCCGCTAGCTGTCTGCGGATAGTGTTGGGCGCCAACCCTTTTTTGACGCCCTCCATCAAATACTCTAGCACCCTGGGAATGGTTACCTGTGACAAACTCACATGATTCCTGTCGCACCGACAAAAGCCCTTCCACGTATGGTCGTAAATACGGTTAGTTGCCGGCCTCCTGGCCGCCTGGATCATATCTATCACCTCTGCCAAATACGATTCCCTAGTCAGGGTGCGGCGTTCAAATGCCAGGCGGTCAATTGAAGCCATTGGGGGTCTGGGTGTTGAAGATCCCCCTGCGTCAACCATATTCGGTCGTCGGGAATCCTCCACGGGTTTGAGACTGAAAGGCCCACCAAGTCTGCAAACCAAGGCCTCCTGGGCCAGTGAGGAGCTACAAAGATCACCTCCGCTTGCTCCTCCAGGATCTTTCTGATAACTGCTGGAAGCAGAGGTAGTGGGGGGAAAGCGTACAACAGGCCTTGCGGCCACCAGCTGCGCAGGGCATCCACCCCCTCTGCTCCCCGGGAGGGGAACCGAAAAAAGAATCTGGGCAGCTGGGCGTTCCCCGGCGAGGCGAACAGGTCCACTATCGGATGACCAAATCTGTCCGAGATCTCCCGGAAGACATCCGGATGTAACATCCACTCCGAATGATCCACTAGCGACCTGCTGAGGAAGTCTGCCTGCCTGTTTGCCTCTCCCGAGATATGCTCGGCCCTGATGGAAAGCAGGTGTTTCTCTGCCCAGGAGTTCAAGGCTCGAGTCTCTGTCATGAGAGACTTGGACCGGGTGCCCCCCTGACGATTCACGTGGGCTTTTGCAGCCAGGTTGTCCGTTAGGACTAGTACGTGTTTCCCCTTGATTGTTGTGTGAAAATGTTTGAGAGCTAGGTGAATTGCTCTGAGCTCCAACCAATTTATGCTGTGCCTGAGGTCTGTCTGTGACCACTGACCCTGAGCCATCTGGGATTGGAGATGTGCACCCCAACAGAAGAGACTTGCGTCCGTGGTCACCCTGACCCGACTGGGCTCTTTGAATAGAGTCCCCTTGTGCATGGCTGAAGAAACCCACCAGCCTAGAGAGAGACGCACCTGATGAGGAACGCGCACCAATTGGTTGGATGTGCTGGTGTGCTGTCTCTGATACGGGAGCAGGAACCACTGACGGTCCCGTGCGTGTAACCGGGCCCACGGTACTATTGCAATACATGATATTAACTTCCCCAGGAGCTGAGAAAGTGTAGCCAATGACACGGTCCTGCTTCTGCGCACTCTGAGTGCCAGGTCTCTGATGCTCGAGCGTCGCTCCTCTGATAGGTACACGTGACAAGCTTCCGTGTCTATCACCACGCCCAGATGTAATAGGCGGGTAGAGGGAGTCAAATGACTCTTTTTGAAATTTATCAGGAACCCGTGGTTCTGTAGGGTGTTTATTGTGAGGGCTAAATCCGACTGGGCATCCGAGACAGACAGGGACTGGATCAGAATGTCGTCCAGATAACACTGTACCCGTACAGGGACTAACCTTAAATGAGCTGCCAGCACTACCAGGATCTTGGTGAAGACTCGGGTGCTGAGGATAGGCCGAATGGGAGAGCCCTGTACTGAAAGTGGCGGTTGAGGTAACAGAATCGCAGATACCTGCAATGGTTCGGGAGGATAGGAATGTGTAGGTAAGCCTCCTTTAGATCTATAGAGGTCAATAGATCCCCCCGTCTTATGCTGGCTAAGATGGACG